TGGAATACTTCATTTCTCCAAGGATCCCAGATCCCTTTAGTGAAAGATGGTGTTTGGCAGCCAGGATCTAGGGAGCAGACATACTCAGTCCTCCTGGAGTGCTACTGCCCCCAGCCCTCTCTCATTCACACTGATGCCTCCAATCTAGATCCCCAGACATCAGTCCTTCCCCACCTCTTTCATCTCCTTGCTCCCAGAAAACCCTGGTTCCCAACACCAGGACAGGTGCTCACTTGCTCCATTCTAAAACACGGCCAGTCAGTTCAGAACTACCCCGACCTGTCAAAACTAACCTAATTTGTAGTATGTTTCTCTGTCATTCTTTTTTTCTTCTGACTATATCCCACTAAAGGAATACAGGGTACTACTATGTGTGACTGGAATTACCCTTTCCTATGTGGTTATGTTATTAATAATCATTCAATATACTGATACTTCTAGGTTCATTTGCTTCCCTTTAAATTCAAGTATTCTTTTTTACTATCAATGCTATTGAATTTTTTCAAGATGTAGAATACTTATATGACTCAGAAAGTCAGAATTATATCAAAAGGCATACTCAGATAAGTTTCAGTTCCACCCAGATCCCTCATCCCCTGCCCCCACCTACTTGGATGTTCATTAGTTTCTAGTCTATCCTTTCTATGTTTCTTTCTGCAAAGAGAAGCAAATACATACATATTCCTTTAAACCAAGGGCTTCCCACTGTGGTGGCTTCTCTTGCTATGGAGCACGAGGGCTCCTGGGCCCTGGAGCGCAGACTCGGGAGTTGTGGTGCACTGGCTTAGGTGCCCCTCAGCACGTGGGATCTTCCAGGATAAGGGATCGAACACACATCTTCTGCACTGGCAGGCAGATTCTCCACCACTGAGCCCCCAGGGAAGCCCCATAGTATGCATATTAATTTGTACTTTTTTTCACTTAATGTATCTGAGCAATAGCTCTGGCAGTTCACAAGAATCTTCCTCTTTTACTTTTGCAGTTGTGCAGTTCTCTACTAAGGGGATGCACCTTGGCTCACTCATCCTGGATGGACGTTTCCGTTGCTTCCATTGCACATCACAGACAGTGCTGCAGTGAGCCACCCTGTGCATCTGGCGCTTTGCCATCTGTGGAGGCACACCACTCGGGGCAAATGACAGGAAGTGGGGCTGTGCCGTGGAGGACAAGTGTGCACACGGACACTGCCTAGCTCCCCACACGACGACTGGGCCCTGCTGTACTAGAGGGTGCCTGCTTTCTGAGGGCCTCACAAGATGTGCTCAAGCTTCATATATTTGCCACAAGTGAGAAACTGCCCCAGCGATTTTAACTTTCATTTCTTCTATCATATGTGAAGCTGAGCATCTTCTCATATATTTGAGGGCCATCTGTATATAGTCTGTGAATGTCTTCATGTTTTCTGTTAATTTTTCTATCAGTTTTTGGTCTCCTTTCCCTTTGACTTTTAAGAGTTTTTAAGATTTGCGTGCATGTGCAAGCCACTTTTTAAAAATTTTTTAAAAATTAAAAATAAATTTAATTTTAATTGGAGGATAACTGCTTCACAATATTGCGTTAGTTTTTAACACATACATCAACATGAATCAGCCACATGTATGCATATGGCCCCTCTCTCTTGAACCTCCCTCCTGTGTGTGGACCACTGTTAAAGTCTTCATTGAACCTGGTACAACCCTGTTTCTGTTTTACGCGTTGGTTTTCTGGCCCAGAAGAATGTGGCATGTGGCTACTCAACCAGGGATGGAACCCACAGCCCCTGCAATGGAAGGCAAGTCTTAACCACTGAACCCCAGGGAAGTCCCAAGAGTCTTGATATCTTACTGAGAGCTTCTACTCCAGAACACTGAGGGCAGAGGGGTGCCCTGGGCCGGCTGTGCCTCCTCCCGCTTCTCCCAAAGACCGCACTCCTGCATGGGTGTGCTCAGGGGTCCACCAGGGGACTGGCAGAGCCAGCCATCAGCTCAGCCAGAGCCAGGAACCCAGCCACCCTCAGCTCAGGTCTCTCCTGCAACTCACAGCTCTGGCCTCTCTTCCATTTGTCAAGTGAGAAAAATACCCATACTGACTGAAGGATTTACAGGTACCTTAGGCTTTCAAAGGAAATGCTAATCTCTCTCACCAGTGAAGAGTCTTCCTTTTATTGCGGCTCAAGCAATCTATGAATTAAACTAAAATTACATTTCACTTTATAAATATACAAACAAGGTTCTATTTATAGCACAGGGGACCTATATTCAATATCCTGTGATAAACCATAATGGAAAAGAACATAAAAAAGAACACATGTGTAAGACTCTGTGTGTGTGTGCATATGAATGGCTTCCCAGGTGGCTCACTGGTAAAGAATCTGCCTGCCAGTGCAGGAGACGGGGGTTCAATCCCTAGGTCAGAAAGATCTCCTGGAGGAGGAAATGGCAACCCACTCTAGTATTCTTTCCTGGAAAACTCCATGGACAGAGAGCCTGGCAGCCTGCAGTCCATGGAGTTGCAAAGAGTCAGACACAACTGAGTGACTGAGCACACACACACATGTGTGTGTATATGTACATATGTATACATACATATATGTGTGTATATATACATACGTATATGTGTGTATATACACATATGTATACATACGTATATGTGTGTATATATATATCTACTGAGTCATCTTGCTGTACAGAATTAATGTAACACTGTAAATCAACTGTACTTCAATAAATTTTTTTCAATTTCAATAACTCATAAAATTTAAAACATAAGCTATATATGATTAATCAGTTCACTGGCAGGAAGCTTAATCTAAACAAGATTTATAAATGTCCCTGGATTTCTAGTGATAGTGAGAAAAATACCCATAGGTACTGCAGGTAGTAAGCCACTGTTCTGCTTACTGACCCAGTGATTTATAGCATAAACGTCTTTACAGTTCTGAGCAATGCCTCTGGTCCCAACAAATAAACCACTGCAAACAGGCCCAGCCAACAGGTGTCGGCACATCATTCGTAACTGGAGTCTTCGGTTTTAACGTGGTTAAACTTGTTTAAAGAAAAGTCAGAATAAAGTGTGTGAGATAAAAAAGAACAATGAATCATGAAAGCCCCTGACAGCAACACCATTGGTGAGTTCCCCACACTGTGGAGCCCTCACTCAGAACAGGGATGTGAACGGGCAAGCACGCTCCGGCTACAGTAGGACTATTTATTTACCCGTGGGGACAGAAGGCTCTAAAGCTTTTTGTCCAAGTTTTTAAAAAAATTATCTAACAGAAGAAAAAGCAAAGCAGATCATTTAACAAACTAGAACTACAAGAGTTGTATATCATTAAATCCTTCTGAAGACATGGGCCATTAGAAAAAAATAGCTGAAATTTCAAGAAAAGAGCTAAAAAATACCTGCAATTTTAGAAATCCCAAGTGATCAACATACAGACAGTGTGCAAAAGGGCTTAAAGTAACGCAGAGTGACAGTGTTCCTGTGTTTACAGCCAGCATCACTAAAATGCGATTGGCCCTCCAGCTTGTCTCGTCCTTAGATCATCCACCCCAGGCCTGCTGCAGCCAGGACAGGTGACCGATCGGCACAAACAGGACGCTGGCTTGTGGTTAGAGCTGGGTTTGAGACAGAGAACAACACACCACCTCAAGAATGTAACCAGAGTAATATTAGCACCAACTTTTCAAAAACAAGTATTAAACATTTAGACAGAGAAACAAAACTGTACCTGCTGAAGGAATTTCTTTTCCTCCCTAACCATGACATGGAACCAATCCATGTATACGGGGTCGACTAGTCTCAAAAACTTCCGGAACTAACAATGCAACCAATGCAGTTCTTTTCCCAGGAAGTTCCTGGTTACTCACATCACATGTTGACGAAAGCTCAGTGTCAATCTTCAAGATCATAGGTGTTCTAATATGTATTTCTCCAAATATCAACAAAAATTAACAATGCATCTTCAATAAGCATCTAAACATATTCAATGTCTCATGAAGTTTTTAAGCTTACTAGAAAATCTTAGTTTGTTTAGATGTATTTTGTTTATGGATCTAAAATCTTAACGGAGTCAAAGTAAACAGGCAAATATTTTGTCTTTAGGGTTTATTTACATTTTTATTTCTAAATATGAGAATGAAATTTCTTTAATAGATTCTTTTCTACACTGTTTGAAATTTATGGTATGGGTACAGGCATCACTTTTCAAAATAACTGAAATAAGTAACAATAGAAAAGTTGGCCAATACTTCAAATAAAACCACCCCACTTCCCAACACACACTCACACAATGAAAAAATAATTTTTTAATATTTCCTTAAAGACTCTTTTCTCATGGACAACTTTTACAGTTAAAAATCATGGTACACATACAATCAATTTATATACGACTATTCCCTTATATCAGAAGGTGATCATCTAGCCTGTGGAGACTTTGCAATTATCATAAAAGTACTTCTAAGGGCCACCCTACAGTCTTCAGTGGGTATCCAATTCTTCTGTCTGATATTTCAATTACAATTAATGTTTGGACCCTGTATCCAGAATTTAAATGAAATTAGTGTTTGAAAAGGAAGCAGCCCATAACTTGGTGCCCTTTACAACCTGGTCAGTATAGTCCAGACAGAATTTAACTCTTCCCACATGTAAGAGCCTGCACTGGAAAAATGTCACACATGACTCTGAATCTCCTGGGGACAAGTAAGACTTAGGCTTCCGCTAAAGCATAGCTGGCCCTCTGTATCAGTGTGTTCCACAGCCAGGGATTCAACCAACTGAGGATAAAACACTTTCAGCGGGGGGAAAGAAATCCAGAAATTTCCAAAAAGCAAAATGTGAATCTGTCACCTGCTATCAACTATTTACATAGCATTCACATTGTACTTACAACTGTTTATGCAGCATTTACATTGAATTAAATGTTACAAGTAAAACAGAGATTTACAGCACCTGGGAGAAAAAAAATTAAAAAACAAAATAAAAAACAAAAAAATCAACAAAAAGAACACTGTAAGTCAATTATACTTCAATAAAAATTATAAAACAAAAAAATAATAAAGTATATGGGAGGATGTGTATAGGTTATATGCAAATACCACATCATTATATACAAGGAACTAGAAGTATCTGTGGATTTTGATATCCATGTGGGGGAGTCCTGGATCCAATCCCACCCCACCCCCCATACTGAGGACAAATGTATATACCTGAGATCTTCAATTTTAAAAACCAGGTCAAAAGGCAGGTTTAGAACAACAGACATTTTTGGACAATGAAGCATCATTACATATATCTTGATTTACATATGAAATACTTAAGGAGTTATCTCTGGGTGGTGGGATTATAGGTGATTCTTATTTTTATATTTTGCTTATTGGTCTTTAGTTTCATATTTTTAAACAATGAACATCTATAAAAAATAATTTAGCTTCTCTCCAATAGGATCTCAATTGTGTACTTCTATCCAATTACGTGTGTATGTGTGCGTGCGCACAAAACAGTCTGGAAGGAAATGCACTAAAATGCTAATGGTGTTTTTCTCAGGCTAGTGGGATTGTTGGTCATTTTTTGGTTTGGATTTTATATCACTCTGTATTTTCCAGTTTTTAGAAACAATAGGCATGTGTTACTTTTATAACATAAAAAATTGTAAGACCCTAACAAAATTGCCTGTTCTCCAAGCACAGAAAGGAACATCATCTGCCTTTTAGCAATTCCTCCAACACACAGGGCCAGACACACACACCATCCGCTCCCACGTGCACCTGCTCACGCACACATGCTCATTCTCACACACACGCCAATCCAAGCCTAGGACTGCAAAGGACAGTGAAACAACCGAAAGGTGTGGCCAAACGTCCTCAGGGAGTTCCAAGCGCCCACCAGTGGAGGGCTGAAAAGGAATGAACAGCAGGGAGACGCCTGTGCGTGGACACCACCTCCAGCAGCCTCCTTACTGAGAAGCACAGGCAGGGCCCACAAGGTTACTGAAGGGCGTTCCTGCTCCAGCGGGCAGAGCTCTCTGGAAAGGACCCTAGACTGTTTAAATGCCCAAGTGAGCGCTATCCTGTGACAATAACCTTTACTATTATAATGAATTTCTTTGAAAGATAACACTGAAAGAAACCAATCGTTTCTCACAGTACTCTTATTTTACAGTACAGTTTATTTCACAATTTCTTCTTTATGATAAGTTGGTGATAACTACAAAAGCATCTGTCCTTCTTCATGAAAGGATCACGTCCACGAGGCATCTTCAGAGATGGTCGAGGCCTTAAAGATAAGCTCTTGCAACTTGACAACCAATGCCTGGGCACATCTGACTATAAATTCCTGGTCAAGAACACACAACCAGAAAGCGCCGCTGTAGTTCTTTCTCCTTTCAATTCCTGCCAACACTGTATTATATTACACCACACCTGATCTATCACCAGATGAGGTAATGAGAACCAAATACACCATGACATTGCTAAAGAGAGAGGGACACAAAAGCCGTCTGTATTATAAATGGGAACTACTTCTATTAAAAATTCAGATAATCCACTTAAATAATTCAAAACACTTCCTTCATAAGCAGATTACAAAGAAGATACTGCTAGTGCTACCTTTGACAATTTGACAATAATCAAGTTGCTATCACCAAGGACAGTAATGTGACCAGCTTAAGAGTCTCATGCACTCTGTATTTTGAAATCTCAAGGTAGAAAGTACAAATACTTATGCTCTTTATTGCTGTGTGTTCCTACAGTTTACAAAAATTATGAATGTTTTTAAAAGAATTATCTTCTAGAGATATACACTGAAATATTTATGGGTGACATGATATGTCAGGTATGTGCTTCAAAAGTAATCTAGGGGTGGGGAACAGGGAGTTTACAAGTGAACCAGGACTTTGGAAACTGAGCAATGGCTTGGGGGCAGGTAGAGGGTTTCACCAGGCTTCTCTCTATTCTTAGGTATGTCCAAGACTTTCCATTTTTAAAAATTAAAAATATTTATCGAGGTAGAATGCTTCACTTTTCTCTAAAATACTTCACTATCAAAGAATATTTCTTCTCTTTGCTCCTCTATAATGTATTCTGACACTAGACTTGGAAAAGGAAGTCTGAGTCATAACAAAAGCTAGCAAAGGTTACACACACACAAAAATCAGCCTTTCACTACCCTGTTAATTATCTGCTCCTAAACAAGAGCTGCCCTCCACCATCCCAGGAAGCTCATCCAAGTCCGGTACTCAGATCACATCCAACTCTGCTTCTTCCCCAGCAGTCCTGGGAGCAGACAGAAGGGGCAGTGCCACAGCAGACCTCCCTCACTTGCCCACTCCCACCAAGTCCTGAGTCATCCTGGACTCACCCCCAAACTCAAGATTCCACCAGGAGCTCCCAGAGCAAAGAATGTCAACTCAGTTCTACTCTGAATAATATTTAGAAAAAACTCAGCCCCAAATAGCAACCTAAAGTTTTTCCCACTGTGATCAATAAGAATGTCACAACAAAAGGTGGTTCCCAAATGAAAATGATTTTATGATAATCAATAAGATGAAACTTTGTGGGATTAAAGTTTAGGGCCACCAAACCTAAGAACCGGGAGCCATCTAAATGTCATGAGCAGAAGACCTAGTCCCTGTGTCAACACTTACAATCTGTGAGGCCTTGGAAAGTTACTTGACATTTATGGGCCCCCAGTTTCTCACCTGTGGGATGAATCTCTTCCATGTATGACTGCCTCAGAGAAAGGCTGATGACCCAGGGAAAACACAAATGAGCCTCCTATAAGCTATAAAGCACTGCATCAAAGTCAAGAGTATGGTAAAGACAAATGTGCCAATTCCCTAACATGCTTGATGGGTGTGATGAAGAAGCGTGTGTTTAGAGAGAAGACACATCGTTCTACTGAAAAACAACTGAGGATGCCCAAGGTGCTCTCCAGCTGGCGGGCAACAAAGAAAAGCATCAAAACACCTGAACCACTGATCACAACCCATGAGAACCATACAGGACACTGTCCAGCGATCACAATCCAGGTTAATCTCTCTCATTAGACTTAGAAAGGGTCTAATGGGCACATCTCTCTCTCTGCCCATTAGACTAAGAGATGGGAGACCTGTCCTGGGCAATGTCTTCAAACCAGAGCTACACAGAAGTGTCACACTGACCAAGAGGTCAACATTCAGGATACCATATGGACACGTTCAGACTGAAAACTCAACAAGGAGCCCTGAAGCAGGATGACCCAGTTCTTTACATGACTGCTCAGTGGACATCATGAATACTCAAGGGGCACAGAGATCCTGTATAAAAGTTCTTAACGTTCTGGCAGACACCCTACATACCAGGGTGTCAATTTTACCTCTTAGCTTAAACATGCATATGTACCTCACATGTACCTGAACGCCCACTTCACATGTATGAATAGTATGAATATTCACATGTATGAAAAGTCAATTAAATACAAACACTAGCAGATCAGCCTTTGGAATATCTCATCACTGAACAATGTATTTAAAAGAACACCTAAAAAAAAAAATTAACAATAAATAAATAAATAAATAAAAGAACACCTGTCACCTGTGTGATGTCTATCCAGGTTAACAGCAGGACACACACAGCCACACTGTTGTCTCCACCTGAACTTCCATAAGCGCTGAGGGGGGGGAAGGCCTGGACCTTGAAGCTCCCTTTCTCCCAGAGCAGCGCTGCCCTGGCAGCGGCTCGGGACCCCCTGCCCTGTGCGTTCCCTCACCTGCCCAGCACCTCACCTGTCCTACAAGGGTGGAGGTGGACCTGATGGGAGTTCTGTGGAGTCTGTATTCACCGCGGTGCTCTAGGGTTCATCCCTCTCCCTTGTGCACAGAAGGTAGGAAGTGAACGTTTTTAGCCTTCACTGTCTCCCAAATAACGAACCTACCTAGAACACAAGCCAACCACAGACGGTGAAGTAACTGCGCTCAAAATAGATTATTAATATGATCTTAAGCATCCAAGTGCAGCCTGGCCTTTGCAGACAGGAGTGAATTACTTCAGCCAAACCGAACTTGGGCTCTCAGTTGGGAGACCTGCTGGCACCTGTCCATCCGGGGGGCACTTCTATGCAGCAGAGAGGGGGCATGTCCCCAGGCCAGGAGCTACCCTCAATTTAGGAAAGATCCAGCTGTGTGGCTTGGGATGGCAGGGAAAGAAACTGACTCTCGGGAATAAAACCTCTTGAAAGGGGGAAGATGTGCTTCAGCGAATTCAACCAGAGATTAGGGGAGAAGCGGTGAATCAGAAGAGAAGCGGGACCCCTGGCCTCCACTGCACTCCGCGACCAACGCGCGGGCCCGGCCTTCACGCGGCGAGTTACCTGCTCCGCCCCGTAGACGGTGGCGAACTGGACGAAGTCCTCGATGCGCACGAAGCCGTCCCCATCCCCGTCCAGGGCATCGAATACGGCTCGGAGGCGGGGGCTATCCTCCGGACACCCCGCAGGCTCGCTCGTGAGGGGGTGAGTCTGGCTAAAGTCAGAGGGCCCATCCGGGTCCCCGGGACCCAGTTCCAGGGCCGGATGGCCCATCTCGGGCGCCACGAAGGAGGGGAAGAAGTCGACCTCGCCCCTCAGGTGATGGCTGCGGCTGAAGTCCTGAGCGCGGACGGACGCGCTGTGCGCGGGGCCGTCACCCTCCGGCTCCATCGTCCAGGAAAAGAGCGGGCCGAGCTCCGGCAGCGCCAGGTCAGGGTCGGAGTCAGGGTCGGGGTCGGGGTCGGGCTCTTCCGCCCTCGCCCATCTTCGCGCCGCGCCTCAGCTGTCCTCGGCCCGGCGGCGCGGCGGGCGCGGGCCCATGGCGGCGGCGGGCGGCCGAGGGAAGTCGAGGGGCAGGGCGGGCCGGGACTCTGAGGCGCGGGACGCCGTGGAGGGGACCCTGAGGAGAAGAGCCCCGAGGACGCGAATGAGAAGGATGACGCCGAGAAGGCGACTGAGGTACCGGAGCGCACGCCACCTCCCTCGCCCCGCTCTTCCCCGGCCTGACGTCAGCACGTCGCGCCGCCGGCTGGCCCCGCCCCTCGCCGACCAGGTATAAAGGCAGGCTCCGGCGCGGCAAGGCTGCCTGTGTCGCTCACCGTCGGGGTGGAGTCCCGGAGGCGAGAGTGCTCGGAGGCTGCGGACCCGGGCGTGACGTCACCGACCCACGCGCGGGGCGGATGGACTGAGTGCTGCCGGCGTAAAGCGCCCCCACAACACGCAATGAACGCGATCCTGAAGGGGCCGGGGACGTGCACGTGGCGCCCCCAACAGACGCCTGCTGCGCGGAGACTCCCCGCCTGAGTATGGAAGGGCCTTGGAAACGCGGTCTGTCCCTAGTGACCGAAGGAACGCGTGGGCACACACTGAGACCGTTTTTAAAATCTGCGACAAGTTTCCCCCCCAACACACAGGCTATCCAGTGTTCGTCGCCAGTGTACTGCCAGGCCTCCCAAGCGCTGCGGCGGCAGTCTTTGACAACTGACATCTGTTTCTCTAGATGTCACTGTCGTCAGTGGGGACACAGGGCGCCAGACAGCAGCACAGGCACGTTGCAGCAGGCATAAAAGTGGAGACATGCAGATGGGAGTCCGTAAGCTGCCAGGCCCCAGGCAAGGTGCATGTAGCATTACAGGCTCCATCTAGAGCCCGTAATAAGATGCGGGGGGAACGGACTGCCCCGGCTGTGTTCATAAACAGCTATGGCGAGAACCAAAGGAGACTGAGCCTGCTTCCAGGCGTACTGTGACGAGCGGTGTGTTGGTTAACTGAGTCATCTGCCATGACAAAATCCCAGGGCATGTGGCCCCAGTGTTTGTGAGGCTGGCATTGGGAAAAGAAGGGTAAAGGAATACCCCCAATCCAAAAACTATATTCTCAGTTTCTTATAAGAGCCCTATGCTTTCATGAGGAAGATACTGCACTCAAAAGAAAAAAAAAAATCACCTCCAGGGACTTCCCTGACGGTCAGGTGGTTAAAAATCCACCTGCCAACGCAGCGGACACGAGTTCAATCCCTGGTCCAAGAACTAAGATCACTCATGCCACAGAGCAGCTAAGCCCATGTGCTGCAACTACAGAGGCCAGTGCTCTGGAGCCCATGAACCGCAGTTGCTAAGTCCTGGAGCCACAGCTACTGAAGCCCACCGTCCCTAGCTGCTGCTGCTGCTGCTAAGTCACTTCAGTCATGTTCCACTCTGTGCGACCCCATGGACTGCAGCCTACCAGGCTCCTCTGTTCATGGGATTTTCCAGGCAAGAGTACTGGAGTGGGTTGCCATTGCCTTCTCTGACCCTCCCTAGAGCCCGTGCTCTGAAACAAGAGGAGTCATCGCAATGAACCCCAGGCACCGCAACTAGAGAGTAGCCCCTGCTCACCGCAGCTGGAGATAGCCTACATGCAACAATGCAGAGTCCATGCCTTGCAACAGAACTCAGCACAGCCAGGAAAAAAATTATCTCCAGTTTTGGTGAGAATTTGAAATTGGACTGATGCCTTTGGCCAAATACAGCTTTTAAAGGTACTTATAGTGATGTGTCAGCTTTTCTAAATAAGGATGTTAACATGGGGGAGGTGAAACCAAATGAGGCAAGGGCTGCACCCTCAAGGAAACAGCTCTCTTGCTGCTGTGCCAGTTTGTGAAAAATCTGCATTCCTTGGCTGGCCGATGTACCCAAACAGAAGCCCAGCATGGAGAACACGCACCTTCCTGCTTGGACCACTTCAAGAGACTCTGTCCCTGGAACATTAAATGTGACAAGTGCCTGGTCAGTCATTTGGACCTCCAGCATCCACGTAGATATTTTCCATCTCTAACGTTCAAGACAAAATGAACCAGCTCGAGGGAATCAGCCCCAGCTGCTGTTTTGACCTGCTCCTCCACGCCCACCCCATGCATATTTTAATTTAGCCATGTAACAGGTACACAGAAGGGGAAGGGAAAGGGTGGGGTGGGTGCAGCTCACATCTGTTGGCATTTAGGCCTGAGTGAGTGTCTGTGAAAACCTCCCTCTATGATTCCTTCTTTTTGAAAGGTACCTGGGATAAACACTTATCTTTTGGTACTCTCAAGCAAATGGGTCTCCTTAATCACGCTTCCCTGGTGACCTTTGACCTACGGAGAAAGATGGGAAAAAGAAGATCAGCAGGGTGACTCAGCAGATTCCTAGCACAGAACTGTTGACAGGGGAGCAGAGGGAAAGTAGGTCAGGAAGCCTCAGTGGAAGAATGCACAGGTCTCCCCTGGGGAAGGGCCTCTCCACTGCCTGGGTGAGAGCTGGCCACTGACCGCAGCAGGGTAGGGGGATGACAGGCAAGGCTAAATCTGATCACAAATATCTCTTATTTAATGCATATCTCAAAAAAAAAAAAAAGAAACAAAAATTATAGTGGACATTACATATGTTTCCCCCATTTTTGCTAGTCTGATGAACTTAAAATGGCATCTCATCTTGTCTTATTTGAATTTAGCTGAAATGCTAGTGTGGTGGAGCATATGCTTGCTATGTTTACTCACCAACTAGGGTCTGTGAACTGCCCACTTGTAGCGCTTGCTTGTTTTTCTTTTGGGTTCTCTGACTTTTTCTTTAAGGAAATCTCTCATCAATTTTTGATACTGCAAATATCTTCTCCCTGCTTGTGGCCCCTTTGTGATCTCTGTTGGAGAAAATTAGACATAAATCTTTGATTTTTAGTAGTCAAACCCATTACTTTTATCCTTGGTGACTTTACTAATAATAAAGAAAAGATCTACTTTTCTATAGCTGGTGCCAGTTGTCTGTACAGAAACCTTACAACTAGATCCCAAACTGACATCACATACAAAAAATAATTAGAGAAATAAAAAATAATAATAATTAGAGAAATCAAAGACATAAAAGTGCAAAGTGAGGGAATCACCTGGCAGTCCAGTGGTCAGGACTTACCCTGCCAAGGGTGCAGGTTCAAACCCTGGTCAGGGAACTAAGATCCTGCTAGCCACAAGGTGTGGCCAGAAAAAAAGAAAGAAATAAATAAAAACTTTAAAAGCTTTAGAAGACTTTGAAAAATATCTTTATGATCTTGGAGCCGGAACGTTTCTTACATAAGAGTAAAAATTACAAACAAAGAGAATGATTTGAAGTTAAATACATTAAACTTTAAACTTCCCAAAAGTAAAGGAACACAAATCAGATTGAGCAGGGCTGGGGGAAAGGGAAATTAGTTGGAGTGAAGGAACTGTTTCATACCTTGATTGTAATGGTGGTTCTATAACTGAAATTGTTTATCAAAGTTCACAGAACTGTATACTACAAAGAATGAATTTTACTATATGTAAATTATACCTTAGTAACAATTAATTTTAAAAACTTCGCTTTCTGTTTGACGCAAGACACATCATAGATTGGTGTCTTAGTCTGCTCATGCTGCTATGACCAAATGCCATATACTGAGTGGTTAAAAAACACATTTAGGTTTCACAATTCTGCAGTATGAGAAGTCTGAGATCATGTTGCCAGTGTTAACCTAAAACAATTAAAAAACTGACTATTTTACCAGCAAAATGGGTTTATTCAGAAGCAGCAAAGATTTATAATTGGAGACATACAACTATGGCCAGCAAAGGTGAGGAACTGCTTTTATAGAGGAGAAGGGGGGATTGGAAGAGGCTGTTATGAACAGTGTCCATTGGAGGAAACTGGGAGTTCAGAGTGCACTGGCTTTTCACTGGCTGAGTTGTGACAAGCTCTCATTGGCTGGACTGTTGCTGAACAAGAGAAATTGTTGCTTCCTGCTGCTGCGTAGTAAAACAGTGGCAGATATTGGGATCTGTGCTGTTGAGAGGTATGTGCCTGAAAGCGCCCCCTTCTGGGAGCCTGGCTCTATTTTCATGGAGCTCCAAGTCCAGGAGGAGCCATCCCAAGGTCAAGGGGAAGCATCTGAGGTGGCCAGGGGTGACCCCAGTGCCCCAGGGAGGCCTGGGGGTGGCCCTGGTGATGCCAGCAGGAAAGGGCAGAGGTCTGTTCGGGAGGAAGAAGGGACCTGCTGCAGACCTGAGATGGGGTCAGAGCAAGGGAGGAGCAGGGCCACCAAGCAGCCTGCCCTCGGGCACCCCAGGAAAGGGTTCTGACCTCGGCTGTGGGCCACGCCCCTGCCGCGTGTCCCACCTTCTCCCATAGAAGAGGCTGGCCTCGCCCTCCGGCCTGAGCCACCACCCTAGCTGGGTAACCTGGGGTGAGGGGCAGAGAGAGGCAAGGGGCCTTCCAGCTGGGGGAGAGGCTTTGCAGGCACCCGGCGTGTCTGTCCTCTTGATTGTGGTTCAGGGACGCAGACGGTCGGAGCTCACCAAACTCTGCTTGTCACTCGTGTGCAATCTGTCAAATGCTGATAATACCTCCATCAAGCTGCAAACAAAAACTGCTGGCCAGATATTTTCAATCTGTGATTTTGAAAACGACACAAGTATTTTGCATGGGGTAAGCACACCAAGAGCAGGGTCGACTTAGGTCTAGATCACACCCACCCTCCCCACGGCTCCTGCAGCCGGGGGCGCAGTCCACACTTGTGTTTACTGATATTTATTCGAGGGGGAAGGGTTTTTTTCTCACTTTCAAATTTAGTAAAGTACATTTCTTAGAGTAAAAATAGACCATGAGTTTGTAAGTCACAATTTATCTCCTCCTGAGGCAGCCAAGGTTTGG